TAGATATAATTTACGGACTACTTCATCGTCGTATACGTAAACGATTGCCGCGTGATACCGTTTGTAATATTGATGAATTGTTAGAGAGAGCGAGACTCGTGGAAGACAGTATGTCGGAGTTAGAAATCTCGAAAATTCCCGCGAAATCATCGAAAATACCTACGGTACCCGACCGCGGCCCTACTACGAGTTCGAGCGTAACCATCGGTTCGAAACTCACCCCTAGCTCGCACGAAAATTTGAAACGTATTCGCACTAGATGTTCTTATTGCAAAGCATTTGGCCACACGATAGATGATTGTCGCAAAGCTAGTAATAATAAAATAGATAACAATAGTGAGAAAACTCACCCGGTTCGATGCTATGGATGCGGTCAGCCGGGGGTTGTTAGATCTAAATGTGAGACTTGTTCTAATAAGTCGGTGCGCGCCGAGTCATCCGACTTCAATATCGTGAAAGGGGATTTCTTCTCTACTTCGTCGCACCCTTTAATTACTATAGGTGTAGTAGGTAAAGTAGGGGTCGCGATAGTAGATACAGGGGCTACGCATAGCGTCGCTAGCCCATTATTGCACTCGCTATTAGCGAGCAGTGGCGTTCAATTTAAAGACGCTGTTAGGTACGTTGGACTCGCCGACGGCTCACGTCACCGGAAGATGGTTAAGATCGCGACAGTACCTGTTACCTTAGGTGGTCGGATAATCGATACCGAATTTATGATATTTCCTGGTGACGACACTAGGACTCTCTTAGGTCGCGATTTCATCGCCAAAGCAGGCATAGTTTTAAACATAGCCCAGGAGTCGTGGTATTTCGCAAATAGACCAGGAGACCGGTTCCCGTTTGCACAGTCTTACGTTTTGAAAAACGAGAAGACTGAGCACACTCTTATTAAAGCCAACGTCGTCGTTGCCGATAAGCTGTCGCGACCCACATGCACCGCCGACGAAGCCGACTGTGACTTATGTTGCAGTTCAGCTACGGCCGACATGCCTACACGCGGTGCCAAGGACCTGCGCAAAAACCAATTGAAGGACCCGGAGGTGAGTGAGATTGTCGAAGCCCCGGAATCCGACGATCCCTTTAGGGGGAGGGCTCGGGCCGACAAAGGTTACGTGCTCACCGAAGGGGTACTATATAGGTATTGTCCCGAAAATGTGGTGGTACCACAGCATACTAAGATATCGGCTGAATACCATGATGCACCCACTGCTGGTCACATGGGTACGGAGCGTACAATGCAACGGTTAGTCGGCAAGTATTATTAGCCTGGAATCTGTTCATACGTAACACAATACGATAATAATCATGTACCATACCAGCGCCATAAAGCTGACTCCAGGAGACCTACAAGGTACGCTCGTAACGTCTACGAGAAGGCTCAGAAGGTACGAAAGAGGTATACCGACGAGCACCGTCGGCCAGCTCCCGACTATAAAGTCGGCGATCTAGTTTTGTTAAAAACTCAAGGGTCAAGCGACACAGGCAAAGGACAGACCCCTAAGTTTATTCCCCGCCGCGATGGTCCTTATAGAGTCAAGGCCGTAGTAGGTCCCGTGATTTACGTGCTTGAGCGGCTTAGCGACGGAATAGAGCTTGGGAAGTATCATGCTTCAGTTTTGGCACCCTTTGTTGGCCGCCTCCAGGCTCCAGTTCAGCTAAAGCGTAGGCGGGGTAGGCCTCGTAAGTGCTAACCCGATCGCGAGGACGTTCGTTCGGGTTAGAGGGGGAGACTGTAGCGCCCGGTCGTTGAGAGGGTTTGCGGAGCGTGTACAATGTACAGACGCGGCCGCACGGTTAGAAACGGCTGCGCGCGCAACGCGCCAGCGCCGGCCGCCGCCGGTCATGTAGGTGCGCAACGCTGGGTAGTCGCGCCGACGCCGCAGTGCGCAGCACAAGTAATACGTTTATCGCGGCTCTCGCTCGCTCCCAGTTTTCGTGTTGTGTTTAGTTTTATTAATCTTATATTCACCAAACTTTACTCTATTTGCTTTTACTTTATTATACAGACTTTCGTAACAATAGATTCGTTTCCTTCCATCTCCGATCCATCGAAAACCCACGCAACATACATACCTAAACCTGAGAAAAGTGACTCTACTACCTATTACAATACTTATTTCTGGGACAGTGTGACATCAATTTCCAAATCTAATATTAAACAGATTACATATGCATTTACTTAAGTTTATGTAGTTTAGCAAAAAAAAAAAAAACATTTTACTAACAAGACTTCATCTCCACCACCAGGTAAGGACGCGGCAGGCATAGCAATGGAAGCCATCCGTTACGCGACGGACTCTAAGATCGACGTGGTGCTGATAGACACGGCGGGCAGGATGCAGGACAACGAGCCTCTCATGCGGGCGCTGGCCAAACTCATCAAGGTCAATGAACCGGACATGGTACTCTTCGTGGGAGAAGCTCTAGTTGGCAATGAGGCCGTCGACCAACTTGTAAAGTTCAACCAGGCGTTGGCTGACCACAGTTCCTCGTCTAACCCCCACGTTATCGACGGCATTGTGTTGACAAAGTTCGATACTATAGACGATAAGGTTGGGGCTGCGATATCTATGACCTATATAACTGGACAGCCAATTGTCTTTGTCGGTACTGGACAAACTTATACCGATCTTAAAGCCCTGAATGCTAATGCGGTTGTACACGCGCTTATGAAGTGAATGTATGGGAGTATTGGAAGTAGCTGTGTGTGCTGGGTCTTTTAAGACTGCTGCAATCATCTGTGTTTATATTCTAAAATAAATATATTAGTTAATGTGTTGCTAAGCACACTTGACAATGGGTAAACATTTTTTTGAAAAGAAAGATTCATGTATGACATAATGTTCAGTAAAATGGATTGCAAATCAGTACATTTGAAATCGTGTTTGTATGATTTGTAATATATTGAAAGTGCTACAAGTGCTTAGTATAGTGTCGGGAAGATACGAAGATATAATAAGCGTAGCAGCACACACAGCCATGTAGATATGTTAGCAATGTATTGTAACAATTGGTGATAAATTTGGAACCTGCGTTCAACCACTGTGGTGTTATGTTCACAAATAAATGTTTATTTTCATATTGTTTTGTTTTTATTCGAGTTTTGTTACAGGGTTGAGGTGGATGTTGCTGGTCTATGTTTAACTGTGACTAAAGATTATTTAAATATAGAAGGTACCTTCTTATAATTTAATTCTGAAGCGTTCTGGATGACTAAGTTATTTATTATTCACAATAAGCCAATATTTGGCCACTATAAACACAGTAAATTATAAATAATATACTGTGTTTAATCATCTCTAAAAATTCTAACAGTGATTCGTAATTAAGGGAACTTAATTTTAATGCTTTTAACATCCATATCAGATAACAAGAGCACCAACAAACATCTGTAGAAATGTAAAAAATAATTTTAAAAACCCATATTAATGAATAACATATTACTTATAAGCAAAAAATAAAATAAATAAAAAATAAAGCTGAGAGCTGCATTCCTAAACTTATTTATTTCAGATTTAATTTCAAAAGTGCGTTTTAATGTGACCAGCAATATCCGCCTTTAAATTAATTTTTATTTTGATATTATTTCTTTATAAGCGAAGTCTTTTGTAATTATGTCGAAATGTTATAATAATTGTGTTGAATCAACAAGAATTACATTGTTTTTTATTGATAATACATTTGTTATTTGAAAAACAATATTTTATTATACACATCAAAATTTGATAATAAATTCTAAAATTGAGTGATTATTGATAATAAATAAACTGGGATTAATAATAAAACATTAAATTCTGTATTACAATTAAAAAGTAACGAAAAAAGCGTTTGTATGTTTTTCATGTAATTTTCAACATTTTTATAAAGATTTTTAAGGTTTTTATAGTTGTAAAAGGTTGTTAAAAGCTGAAAAAGGGTGATTTCGTAATTTCCTTTACGTAAAAAGTATCTACGATGATCTTAATCCCTACATCATTTTAACGTATCAATACGGTAGTTTCCAACTAGTCAAATTCAATACTTATACCCAAATGCTAAAAACGATACTTTTCTATGAAATTTTTATGAAACACTGAGTTATGACGTCATTATATTTGAGAGTCAAATAGCTTACTTATATGTTAAAAATTAGCTAAAAAATATCTAAAATTCAGTTTATCGATCGATCGATGAATAAAAGTATAGTTATTTATCAATATTTTATTGTATGGAAACGACGAATTAATTTATTTTTGACCTAGGAAACTACCCAATTTAATCTCTGTTATGTAACTTTTTCGTCTTGAAATTCATAATATTGTACAATATTGACAAGCATTTATTGGATTAAGTTTAATTGACCTCTACGCTGAAGATGTAAGCTGAAAAATGTTTTGTTAATTGCACGTTTTTAATAATAATTTGACAAATATGATTTTTATTGGCTAGCAATAAGGACTATTTCTCTTCACCTTCTACATTTTCTAACTATTAAACCAAATACTATATATAAAGGTTACTTACACGTAAGTTTTATATCTGACCAATATAGGTACCTAATAATAATTTGTCTCAACAAATACTTATATTTCTTTTATTTATTTTACTATGCTACTGTCTAATATAGCAGTATTTACTTATGAAAAATGCACGCCATATTATATACTAAACTTTTTATAACCATAGTTTTGTATTATTTCTGACCTTGTCCTTATTTATTGGAGCTTAGAACTGACGTTAAGATGCTAGACTCAGTTTATAGAACAAATTATGTCCTGATAATTTGTTACCTAAGTAACCCACTTAGGTATACCTAAGTGGGTTTACCTAGGTACATACTATATTATAATGTCTTTGGAATTCATAACTAATTGATCTAGTTTAGCTCTAAATACTCTAAACACATAGTGACCACAGCGCATAGTCCGTCACATTACCGCATAGAATTATATCAATTTGCTACCTCTCATAATTTTTTGTGACCTTTCAATTAAGTCGCATCCTAATTAAGACGAAAATAATTATATTGAGTTAGTATTTTTGGTACAATTCTGTTGAATGTCGGTCTGTGCGAACGTGCGGCACGATGGGGAAGGGTTTCGACTATATCAAGGATTTGGTGGTGAACTTCAAGTTGGATTGGTGTTGCTGGGTGATCCCTGTTAGGATAGGACTCTTCATTACTGGATACTTTAACATTATTTTAGCGGTAAGTCAATTTTCATTTGTCTTATGTACCTAGTACTTACCAGCTGCTTCTGCGTGGTTTTACCCGATACTCCTAATGGTCGTAGCGTAATTTTAATAGTTAAGTAGTATAAAAGGACGATGCGACACAAAAAGATTTGTTCGAATCGAACCAATAGGTCCGGAAATGAGCGGATTCGGGTACACAGACTCTTTAGCTTTACTATAAATTGGCTTCCGACCGCGGATTCCCCGTGTGTTTTGTTAATAAAAAGCAGTCTAAGTATGTATCAATCCAGGGTAGATACCACCTATTTGGATATCAAATTGATCCAGCGGTTTTTTTTTTTGTGAAAGAATAACATACTTACATATCTACATTACATCCATATCCATACATTATTACTTAATATTAGTATAGATTGTACTTGACGTGCGATCAGAACTTCTACTCGTCTGAAGACCTGATTTAGGGTCCAATAAATTTGACGAAAGTCACAGTAGCTATGCTCGTCAACTTAAACTTTTTAAACTGCGAACTCCCAACCTGTCTGAGAAAGCGATAACTATTATCGCAGACTCTAGATTGGTGTAGCGGGCGACTGACAGCGGTCCAATATGATCGCGGGTTTGATTCCCAAGTCTGACTGTTTATCTGGAAATTCGAACGTCAGTTATTAGAATAATGGTTTCGTACTTTTAGTCACGTTGACAGCCATTAGAACAGCAGATAGGAACTTTTTTTTTGAACTTACTATTATGTCCTGCCCTGTCAATATGTATGTAGATATATGCCTCATTGGTTGAGTATCTAGTCGCAAGAGAGACTTCGGTAGTCGTGGGATGAACGAAGTGTACCTAATTAACTATTTACCGATCTTTAATTCTTTTACGTGACAAACAGTGCGTCATTCTGGGCGTCGGGATCGAGAGACAATCTCCGGCTACCGTAAGTGCGGGTCTACGGACGGCGAGTAAGGGTAGCTCGCCGCCCGACCAGTACCAAAACCGAGCGGGCCCCTATAATGCTGATGGTTAGTCAGGGGCTGCGAGGTAATCACATAAGGCACCGCGTCCTCGGCTTAGAGCAGGAGAACTGAGGGGTTTTTAGTGAGTAAGGGTCTGACACTTCCTCTCGCCTCACCCTGGGCGGGAGAAGTCATTTGATAGTTTTTCCCTAACAAACAGGTCGGCAAACGAGCTGACTGATTGAGTGGTTTGGGAGATTCAGGGAATCATGGGTTAAAAACGATTATGATGTTACGTAATTCTCTTTCTACATTATGTTTCCAGGTAACATCTCTAGTGGGCATAGCAGATGATAGTTTTGTGCCAATCCTGGTACAAGTGCAGATGACAATACTCGATGACAAATCCACCAAACCCGCCCCCATGATAGCGTACTCCGTGGAGCTAGCGTTCAACGTAATACTACTATGTGCTTTGTATCGGGTGAGTTCATTGATCTTATTAGGTAAACCTTCCTCCGAATAGTAGTAGGTATTCAAAAATTAAATTTGAATTAACGAGAACATTGTTACTTTAAGCATCCTGTTGTGACTTGAAGCAAGTACTTAAAGCATTATGTCAATTTACGAGATAGTCGTTAATATTTATCTTACGATAGTTAGATAAACACCCAAATATACTATATATAACTATTTTTAAGCCTAACTAAATAGGTACCATTACCTGCACCTAATTTCAGCAGAAATCTATCTACCAATCGACAAGAAATATTTTTTTCTGTCTGCTAAATTAATTGAAAATAACGAATCAGTCATCAATCAAATGTCAATTAACTACTGCCCATGAATAAGAGTCCCGTTGTGACTTGAAACTACAGTATAGTACTTAGAGCTTTAACTTGAGGAACTTGAGTTTTTACTTTAGCTTCACTAAGAGGACTGACTGACAGACTGACACTTTTTATCTTTAAGCTTTATTTGACGTTCAAAAGTGGTTTCAATGGTTGGATAATAGTTACCTGGGGAATAATTATGATGCTGTCGCGTCAGAATGCTTGTATAAGACAGTGACAGCAACAATAATATTCCTCAGATAACATTTATCTGACTATTGAAAAATCAGCCCTGATTGAAATAAATGTTTTGACTTTGAGTTTTGAGTAAGTAGTTAACATTAAAAGTGTATTATGTGGTGTGCAGAAAGACATGACGCTGATGCGCGTCTACATGAAGTACTGCATCGCAGCGATCATCACTTCCATCATGTTCTACTCCATGGTGGTCGCTGCCATCGGCGTCGTCGTCACCATCGCTATGGTTCTCAGCATATGTAAGTTACCACCTGACAGAAATCCAGGCAACACATTATTACCTATCTGTTCCTTTAATACCCAAATACACAAAACAAGTATCTAGGAATAATGTAAAAAAGTATGGGACAGACATGCTTCGGCACGAATGGGCGCCACAACACATAGCAATTCTAGTGATGCGGGTCTCCATGGGCGGCGTTGATTGCTTACCATCAGGTAATTCGGATATAGGTTTGTAGGCGAGTCACATAAAAAAGATGGCTTGTTTCACAATAGACACTTTTTTGTGGAGGGAAACTTATCAAATGATGTCTCTCACCAAGGGTATGGCGAGAGGTCTTATTGACTAAAAACCCCCCGTTTCTTCTCGTGCTCCAAGCCGAGGCCGCGGTACCTTATTGCGCTTGACCCGCAGCTATGGCCCATTGACAATATATACTGGAAAGTAATTTCAATTAACTAAGTATCTGTCATATAAGATTTTCGAGTACTTATACAAAGGTGCTGAGTGGTTATCTACCTTTAATCGTACCTAAACAATCCACGCCAAGGGACACTCGTAACACCAGAGGAGTTAAAAGAGCGTTGCCGGCCTTTTAAGGGCTGTTAGGTACTTGGGGATTAGTTTATAGAAATTGTATCAGGTCTTTTGTTTTGGCAACCGAAATGACTGGACATCTGGGCTTCCGCATTTTCGGTCTCAAAGCATGGCCAGGCTATTGATTTTACCTATATACTTACATATCGACAGTCATAAGTAGGATACCTATCTCTGACATAAGTCTGTACCTATTAAACTAACATAAAACTTAAAATTCCAGTGTTCCAAATATACGTCTTGATACTGGTACGAAGTATCCTGGTAGAAATGCGGCTAGAACTGAAGGCTGCAGCGGAACCTACGCTGGTGATGAGCACGTTACTCCAGGAGGAACAAGAGAGGGCGGAGAAAGAGAAAACGGAAGCAGACGTTGAAGCACCACCACCGCCAGCTGAATCCGAAGAACAGGTGGAAAGGAGACCAGAAACTGCACTCGAAACAGTTGACGAACACCCCAGGGAAGAGACGACTCAACAAAGAGAATAAACGCTTTTTTATTTATTTATTAAATTATTATTTTAGTATTTTTTTGGATTTTTATTTGTTGCTTTATATGTAAGTATCTCTAGTAAAACCTCATAAGTCGAGTAGGTAGCATTTGATCATATTTTTGGCACAAATATTATTATTTGAAGTTTACTACGTCATTGCTGATTCTTTAGCGTTAGATAAATGAAAACCTTTTTTTTGTCAAGGGAAAATCATCAAATGACTTCTCCAGCCCAGGGAAGGTGAGAGTGTCAGACTCTCACTGACTAAAACCCCCCCGTTCCTTCTCCTGCTCTGGGCCGAAGTTGCGGTGACTCATTGCGCTTAACCCGCAACCCCAGCCGAGATCTATGAAAACCTTACGGCTCGTATTTGTGTCTTGCGAAATCAAATACTTTCGGAAACGGACTTTGTACTTACTGAGTGCTTTCGAAGATATATTGACTCGTCATATAACCGATTTAGTGGATTTTATATGGAACTCTGACGTGCTCCCACTTAAATTAATGATTAAATTCGTTTTATTTGAGTGTAAACTGTTTTGTATTAAGTACGACAAAATAAATGTGTCATGCGTTCTTTGCTTGTAAGCTTATCTTCAAAAGGAAAAATTAATGAAAAAAAGACAAATATTTATTCCCATTAATTTAATCAATAACACAAATTGGACATACTAATTAAGTATTTGACTCTATCACACATACATCAGAGGTTTGGAACCTGCAGTCAGACATAGCTTAACTATATTATACGTACACTTAAACATTATACACAAAACCTTTGATATAGGTGGCGTTAGCGTAGTTCAGGGTTGCCATTTCAAAAAAATAATAATGTTGGTAGTTTATTAAATGTTTTTAATTTATTATATTTTATTGTAATTACAAGTTTTTATTGATGTCTGTTGAGTATTAATTACTATTTCGAAAATGAGCTAACGCCACATTATAAGAACTTTGTAAGATTGTATATACTAGTTACTTATTATAACCATAAATACTATCAAAATAATTTCGACGGAAAATGTCCATTGTAAATTATATTTCTTTTCAAAAATTTGTCTTGCAGACAGGTTAGGTCTATTCTATTCTCAAAACGAGAACGGAACAATATGATATATATAATAGTAAATAAAATACTTTTATCTATAGTATAACAACATTAAAGTACAGAATGAAAAAGAGTATATACCTATCAACTTAACAGATACATAGCAATCCAATGCCAATCGCGGTTCTGAGGCAAAAGACTTTAAGAAAAAACATTTCAACAAATTAAAATACTACCGAGAAATCTGTATTGTCTTATACTTTAACCACTGACCACTACTAACAAAGCATGTACAATTTGAAACTTGTATACAATTATGTAACCAAAGTTACGTAATATGAAAACTAGATAACATTTGTCGACTAGATAGACAAAATGCACAAATTCCGCTTTAAAATATGATATCAAAATATAACTGTAATTTTTGAATAGTCCCTAATACTTAGTTTACTGAAAATAAACGACTTACTCAGGTGAATAATATGAGAAAATCTCTACCCGTATCTAATAGTCCCGTTATGAATTGAAACTAGTAGGTAAAACTTTTTCAATTTATTCACGTAAGTCATAATTTTCAATAATAAATGTAATTCTTTTAAGAATTACAACAGATACATAACTAGGTGAATGCATATGGAACTTACACTAAGTATATAAGTTTGGCGTAAGATTGATCGATCGGTGAAATCGTACTGATATCTCTGAGAGAGTATTTTGTACACACAACTACAGGGAACATTGAAATCTAATATAATAATTTATGTATTATCTTTCACCTATTTACTAGTAGACCGCATGGAACTGCTACAAAGCTCGTTGGAGAATTCGGGATACACTGATTACAATATTTATATTTTAAACATAGAACATTTATAATTACTTTTATAAGATACTGACTTTTTAGCTTCATTCCAGCGACCCCTTAAAAAGGAGGGCGAATGGCCTTCACGCGTCTGAGGCTGACTCTGTTTAACAGCAAACTTCAGAGCAATACAATTTATAGATAAAGGAATTTGTTCTTCATTTTATATAACTGCATTCACAGCCATGTTGGAATAGCATAAAAAAAAAAATGAAAACTTATATAAAACTTAGGATTAATAGATTTTTTGTGCAAAACAACAAAATTATACTTCTAACAACTTTTAACGTCAGACCCTGTACGAAAGTTTTACTAAAACGACAGCGGTTTGTGTAGAATATAACATGTGTAAAAATGGCCTCCTTCAGAATTTTAAAGTTCTGATAGTCAGAACTATTTTAAACCTGTGGGGTCTACAATAATTTCGGATCTCTAGTTAATGTCTTCCTTAGTTTTAATACGGAATGTACGAAAATTACCGTAAACCCCACAATATAAAAATATAAAAAAGTTTTTAATCAATAAATCCAATGATACTCAATGTTTTCGCTAAAAAGAAACAAAGAAATATCCCTTATGGTAAATATCGTTAAACGATACTTGAAGTGTTAATTAATCTCACAATTTTAATATCTTTAATAAAATAATAATTAATTTTGAATATTATTCAAAGTTTATTTTTAAGTTTCATCAGTAATTTTAAAGGATTTAATCCAAATAAAGTGAGTTTATAAACAATAAAATGTCAAAGATTTTCTCAAACTTTTCGAAACATACTTGGTATCTTCCTAGACCTTCCTAATATCACACATCCTGAAATTCTTCGTTTCCTTAATACCTACATACCCTTAATTACATATCCTAAATATATTTAGGCAATCAGATTAAGCCTAATCAGTCAATTATATTTATAAATGACTTATTGTTTGTCACTTTATTAATACATTGAGCAGCTAGCAGAAAAGATTGAGTACCATTGGATTGTAGCACAAATATTTAATTCCGTGTAGCCAGATGAGCTCCATTCATTCATGAGATTTCAGTTATAGATAGATTCATATAATAAATCTGGAGCTATGCATAAAGTTTGTTGACATATGTAGTATTTCTATAAGTTTTATAATGTTAGTAGATAGGTATATTAAAATATTTTTTTTAAACGAACTGGTATAATAGAAGAAATTTCTTTCTGTATAATATTAGCAATTTTTCAATAGATTATATAGTAGATATTAAAGCAGTTTTGGTCAAAAGTTGTGAGGTAGGAAAGTTGTACATATTTTTAAGGAATTTATATTATAAACAAATAATAGGCTTACATAGTCATTGTCCATAGCTCGTACAGCCAAAGTGTATATATATACTAAATGGGTACATAAGTAAATTTGTCGTCATTTTTATTTCCGCCTATGTGAAGTAACGTAGCCCATCTGACAACACTATACTTACAAAGTAAATAAGATTCATTACACAATAATAATAGAGTAGAAAATTGAATGGCATTAAACGCTTTATTTTTTATTTATGTTCATCCTTCCGAAGCTGCCGGCTAGACCGCGACCTGTGAAGGAGAAAGAGGAAACGTATTGTTTAAGTATAATCACATATATACATTTGAGCATTAATCACCACGCTTGCTCAACACGGTTGGCGATTTCAAACTTGTAGGTATTTAGAAATTATAAGTACAGGTTTCCTCACGATGTTTTCCTTCACCGTATGTCAGTGGTGTCTAAATAATCATAGCAAGTACATATATTTCGGCAATAGTCACATTGGCACTTGCCAGGTTTATAGCACTTATAGGATGAGGATGGTGACTTACCACGTCCAAGGCCTGAAGTGAGAGCTGGAAAATCTTCCTCCGTCAATTCGGGAGCCGGTCGGATGTTCCGGGAATCTGTTTTAATAAACATTTTAAGTATAAAAGCGTAAGGCTGAAAGTTTTGCGTAAATCACACAGTTGTTTACTGCCAACCATCTACAAAGATGCGGCGGGGATCAAACCTAACAAACCCTCAGAATACTCAGTGGTATAAGCGATAGAGAATACATAGCGAGGCTACATCCCTACGCAGTACGAAAGAGTCCAGCTGGTCCGAGATAACAGGGCAGTCAACGATTGGAACAGGTCCAGAGAAGGGAGAAACTGGTATTGAGGTGCCCAGCCAGATAAGTACAGTATATACTCCATATGAAGCCGTATTGTTATCTTCAATGTTAAATAAAACGTTGTCACTATCAATGATCTTCTCCTATGTCGTGGCTGTGTTTACTAACAATTTTGTTAAATGTTTATTATGTATTAGTTTATTGTTATTTATGTATAGTGTTTATGGGCCTTAGTAGCCTGAAATAAAGAGTTAAATAAATAACTAAAAGAAACATACAATTTCACATACACATAACAACAATTTGTAGATCACACGTTTTACCACTGCGCCATCTGTGCAGTAAAATCATTCGCTTATCGCGTCCCTGCGTTCCCACACAAAGTATCGCAACTTTGTAACACACTTAACCACATCCGCGCAACATTGTACCTTCCTTATCTAGTATGACCTTAACCAACATAACCTGGACTACGAGCTCTATTAATTTTATATACACAGGGGTCAATTTACGCTGGACTTCGAGTGAGTCGAACTCCAAACAAATAGTTACTATGGTCTATTGGTTCAGTTATATAACTAAGGGCTGATTTTGCAATGGTTAAATAATAGTTATCTGAAGAATAATTATGATGCTGTCGCGTCAGAATGTTTGTATAAGACAGTGACAGCAACAATATTATTCCTCAGATAACATTAGCTGACTATTGAAAAATCTGCTCTAAATGTAGTCATTGCATGACTTCTTATATAAAAAGTTGTCTAAAAATAAAAAAATCTTAGTTTATAAAAAGACATACCAAGATTGTTTGACTTTAGTTAAACACCTAAACCTATACCTACATAATATACTTATGTATTATTTTTATATACTCACAATCAGCCTGCGGCATTCGCATAGGGGCGTGTGTACGTCGCTCTCGTCTCCCAGCTAAAAATAAAAACGATATGATTCATTTGACACATTTTGCATGATAATAGAGACTAGACTAATGTCTTTATCAGCTGGAGGACAGAGGACAAATATCTCCTTGTCGAGAAAAAGAGAGGAAATGTCAAAACCTTTTTTTTAAAGTTGCCCTATTTTAGGATTGTCCCCTGTGTCGTTGTTGTAACATACACATCACACTCAGACCAGGAACAACAATTTGTGGATCATACAAAGATTTGTACCGTGCGGGAATCGAACCCGCGACCAGTAGTTACCCAGCCATGGCGACAACCGTGCAGTTAACTTTACACTTGGCAGGTAATCAGGTTACAGATGTAAAAAGACGTACAACGAGACCCGTATAATGAACATAGATGAAGTACTTACATTCGCGATCAGGGTCCTGATCAATACCGCTACCGGAAGGTTGTCCCCAGGCTCTGGACGGTTCACCGCCCGAGGCGTGGCCCCAAGCTCCCGACGGCTCACTGACGGCAGACGCTGCATAGCTCAGGTTGCCTTCCCACGTAGATTCGTGGGCCGATGTGTTGCAGGACGATGATGCCGCCTTAAAGGTAAGTCAATAACTTAGAAGAGCCATGTTTCAACACAAATGGGCTAGCTTAACAAGCCCCAGAGTGAAGTGGAGTCACAGTCTTCTAGAATACCGGCATGAAACAACTCTTTACGTTTACACGCTTGGCAAACGTCCACAAGCTCCGAGCGTTACGCGACACTTGCGATACGTCGCAAATGCTAGTCATAAATTTCCTTTGATCTGTGTCCAAAAGTCACCGAAACGGGTCGCCGACAAGCTCTTGCAAGCTCATCCAAGCCACGCCCCACGTTCACATGCTTGTTTGTGAATGCTCGTCGAGACTTGCCAAGCTTGTAAACATACCATTAAATGAGTTATTTATTTATTAAGAATATTTACATATACAACATTACAGCTTACGCCATTAAGGTACAAGTTTCTGATTGAGGTTACTGGGATCCAAATATCCTAAAAGGCGCTGTATCGATTGTCAGGTATGTGACATATCTGTTCATCTGACCCTTATCGCATAAAAAGTGTAACGGAACTGCAAGTGTGTGATTTTGTTACAGTTTACATCTATGTATGTACAATAAACTAGCTTCCGCCAGCGGCTTCGCACGCGCATATGTACTCTTATTAATGTATAATGGGATTCTAAAAAAAGGCAGCATTTGAAAACCATAGCACATCTGAAATACGGAAGTCGAGCTTAATTTATAACCTATAGCACTCAGAAACATTGTAGCTATTCCGTCGCTTCCGCGGACAAGTGCCACAGGACCGCACAGTGACATAGTGAAGTGTCACTAACATAGGTTTAAGTATTTAAATATGTATTTAAAATTTTGTAAAATGTTTATTATGTATTAATTTATTGTTTTTTTAGATTGTTATTTATGTATAGTGTTTATGGGCCTTAGTAGCCTGAAATAAAGAGTTAAATAAATAAAAAAAAATATTCCAAACATTCTGTTCCAAACATTACCCCCTACATACAAACTTACAAATTTTACCTCTCATTAAGTATATAGATAGATAAATGTCACGTGACTATTATAAGACTGCTATACTTACACCAAATCCAGCTACTCTGGGCACAGCACGAACTGTCCTCACTTCCTTGAATTTCAAGATGCGCTGTAAAAGAATAATGTAATTATAATTATGACACAGCTCGTTTCGCTACGTGATAGAGGCTACCGGAGACCCAATCCTTCCTCTTCCCATCCCTAAACCTGCGGAATCCTAATCCCCAACGACGATGCGACGCCGATTACTTCCTATCAGGTAAAAAATCCTCCCAAACTAGAGTAAAAAAACCTGTAATTTTAAGTATGTTATGTATGTAAAGTGGATATAATTAACATTTTCATTAACACTACGATTTTCACAAAGAATTATCTAGGATGCTGCTTTCATTTCCTGTATATTTTAGGCCGCTATCCTACGGACGTTAAAACTTGCAACGCGACGACGCAGAGTTAACGTCGCGTCAGCGCGGCGTCGACGCTGCGCAAACAACGTTGACGTCAACGCTAGTAAAACGCCTAGTAGGATAGCGGTCTTACGTTGAACTCGTCGGGCGAGTCCACGGCGCTGGAATAAAATCTACGTTGACTCTCTGGGCGAGTCAGTGGCACTGAATGTGTTAAATAGATTGAGAGATCATGGCAACTATACTCGGAATTTTAATTCCATTCCAGATTTGACAATTTCAGTGTGGCAACGTTATGACACGTAATAAATAGTGACGTTGCGAAATAATTCGATATGGAAATCGAATATTTCTGAATCGATTCCTCTCGTTTATAAATTTACTCTCGTAAACTAAGTTTATCAGGAAATAAAATATTTCTGAACCGATAATTTAGTTTTGACAATTAATTAACGATCTGAGACTTTTCTTTTGTAATTGTGTGTGAAATTAATAAAAAATGTGATCATGAAGGAACGTGACAAATAAAACAGACATTTTATAAATTGTCGCCGACATCGCTATCGCTATCGCCGTTACTTTATGTAACATTTATTATGAATTGTGTCTGTGATATTTATTGTCAATTAACATATCTAGCTTAATCATTTTTTCCTCTTGTTTGAAAACATGGGATACACATTTAGACCATTCGGTAGCCGTAATTTTTTGAATGCCTTCCTGAAACTGATTCACTGATTATTTATCGATTTTTGTGTTCATCACTACACTGTTATATGTGGTATCATTATTTCACAAAATGACAGTGGTCAATGTCAAATCAGGAATCGAATTAAAATTGTGACTATAGAAAGATTATAACTTACATCGATGTCCAAGTTCCCGGGCACGTGTCTCCCAGGACAGGCCTCGATGCCGGCGACGGGGCAGCAGCTGTCGAGTACGGTGTAGGCCCAGCGGAAGGTGCGAGAGTCCGTGCACTCTATGGCCTTGCCGTTGTCCTCATGGTGCTGGTGACAATACAACAGTCAAATAATTCTCTCACGAAACTAATCAGTTAAGAAAACACACACATTCAACAGTTTTATGTGTAGGAGAGCTTTGGCACGAATATGCCGGCTCGACCGGAGTAATACCATGGCCTCACAGAAAACCAGCATGAAATAACCACAGCGTTGTGTTTCGCCGTATGAGTGAGGTTACCGGAGACCCAATCCTTTCCCTACCCCAATCCCTCCCCAATCACTAAATCCTCTTATCCGCAAAAGGCCGCCAACGCACTTACACCTCCTCTGTTGCGTGTCCACCGCGGCGTCGATAGCTTACCATCAGGAAATGAGTCTGCTCATTTGCCAGTGAATCCGGCTTGTATATGTTACCCAACTATTGAAATAAGTCTTTGTATAAAAACTGCATAAGTGTCCTACCTTGCAAGCCAGTTCCGGGGTATACTTGAAAGGATCTTTTTTGAGTTGCACGAGCGCGAGAGACTCCTTGGGGAACCCCTCTTCCTTATTCGCCTTGATGCTATTGATCAGGTGAAAGAACAACGTGTCCAGACGGTACACTCGGAAGATCATTTCATCCTCATCTATACAAATAACATATGTTGAAAATTAGAAAAATGACTTTAAGGGTTAATTTGGCAAATGGGTCATTAATTTAATGGCCGGTTTGCCGGTTTTTACTGGAAGTCTGAAATGAGACATAACTGACAAAACTATGTTATATGGTATTTTAGGTATGAATGTGTGGGAGAGTCATGCTTCAGCACGAATGGGTCGGCTGGACCGGAGTGATACCACGGCCTCACAAAAAAACCGGAGTGAAACTACTTAAGCGTAGTATTTCGCCCTGTGAGTGAAAGAGCAAAAACTCTAGTAAGGTCATTTCCCGACACATATCATAAAGCAATATAATTAATAATGAATACTGCACTACTTACTAGCTTTGTGGCACATTTGTTGGAGGAAGTTCTTACAAGGCAGCACTTTGTCTGGCATTGTGAACAGTGGCGGTAAAGCCAACGACTTCAGGTCCTTCTGCTTGAGGAAATCTATGATATTCGCGAGGATATCCATCATGTTGCTAGGCGAGTCCTCATCAGGCATCTCCAGGCCAAATTCTGCACAACCCTCTTTAACGTCGGAGGCGTACCCAATCGGTATCTGCCCTGTGGAGAGATTTAGGGTTAACATCCTTATACATATGTTTAAGGGTATTAAACTTCGAGAGATGATCTCTAGCCACGGTACGCGCGGGTCTGTGAACAGTGTGTAAGAAGCGCCGCCCGACCAGAACCAGACCCGAGCATACGGCGCGTAGCGATCCGCATGCGCATCAAAGAGCCAATAGACCATCACAGACTGGGCCATATAGGGCTGATGTTCAGCCGGGGTTAAGGGGTAAGCGGGTAATGTTGCACCTACCATACTCTCTCTGCATCACCCTAAGGTTGACTGGTGAGAATGCCTACGACATTAAGTCCGCCTATGTAATGTTTTGTTGCATAAAGTTTAAATAAATTAATAAGCGCAATGAGGCCTCGTCCTAATAGTTTTTCGTCAGTAAGAGTCTGACACTTCCTCCCGCCCTACCTATGACGGGAGAAGTAATTTGATAACTATCCGCTCACAAAAAAGGGTATAAAACTTAAACCAAGTACAACAACTACTTAGAAATTGTTTAAAAGGAAAGAAAGCCAGCTAAAATCTCTTAAAATTAAGTAATATTTTTCTTACCAGGATTGATCAATTCTGGGTAGTAATCCCGGATTCCATCCCGCAGGTTGAAACGCAGCACGGTGCTCTCACCAATCAAATATTTGTTGTCCCATTTACAGTAGTAGTTTACATCTATTAAATAGAAGTATTCCTCGAGGATATCTGCGAATTGAAGAACGTTTATGAGACCCTCATAGCTTGTGTGCCATAATGGGCTATTTCAATATTTTGTAGAATCTCTGAAGTACGTGCAAATAACGTTATTATAATATTATTTCAGTACACTATAGTCCTTTGTTTTGGCAAGCCTCTTTACCACATTTTAGACTATTTTACATTTGATTTGTTTGTAGATGGATAAAAAGAAATTTGATTGGAGTTCATGAGGAACTTACGAATGTTGTAAATTTTTCTTGTTTTTTGTTGTTTATGTCGTATTAATTAACATAAATAAATAAGTGAAAATAAAATGAATAGCCAATGTACACAAATATCCGTATACTAAATTGTTGTCGGCTATATTTCCGAACCGACAAGGCATTGAAACCCACAAAAAAAAGCGTACCCCATAATAAAATACCTCCATAACACTGTGACTCTTCGGGGGTTGTGACTTTATGAGTGTACCTTCAGTCGAAAAAGCTGCTTGTTCGCCTTCTATCAAATAATTCTACTCACCCTTATTAAAGGCCTTAGTTTTGACGATATTTTTAATATCTTGAATCTCATTTTCCAATGCCTCAAGCTTTTCCTTTTCTTGTTGTTCGATCACAGCCAACGGCACCCCAGTGGACGCAAACTTTGCAACAGGCACATTATGCTTGTCCTTCGCCCTTTTCGCAATTTCCTCATACTTGGCTCTTACTGAAGGAGGTGAACTCTGTATATAAACAAAATAGGCAAGTTAGTCCGTTTTTATTACCTATTATTTGCGCTTAATGACGTAGCAGAGTCGCCTAAGCGGTCACTTGTGAAGATTGGTTCCTTTATCGTCGACGAAGAATGACTAAGGCAACGTTTTTTCATTGCAAGTCAAGTTAACAGTTTTTTGTGAGGGGAAGATCATCAAGTGACTTCTCCCGCCCAGGGTCGGCCAGGCGGGAGTGTCCAGACTCTTACTAACTAAAAACTAAAAATCCTCCGTTCCTTTTCCTGTTCTGGACCGAGGCCGCGGTGCCTCATTGCGCTTACCCCGCAACATCAGCCCCTACGATTAGGTTCAATTAGACCCCTATAGGCACTTTTTAACGTTAAAAGTTTCAGTCTGTCGGTCAGTCCTCTTAGTGAAGCTATTTACTCGTTCCAAAGTGTAGATTCCGATTGAGAAGAACGAGCAAGAAATTCCATGGTTACTTTTTTCAAATCAGTTTCACATACAGATTATTTGTTACGTTATAAAGCTGCAGATTCTTTGTTTCCAATCAATCTTCGTATTTCGTTGGTTAAGTTAAAGTATCTTTAATGATATCTGTGACACCTAACCCGTGAGACAACCATCTCCGGAATCCGCAGCCGGAGCTGCGGGGTAAGCGCAATGAGGCACCGCGACCTCGGCCCAGAGCAGGAGAAGGAACGGGGGGTTTTTAGTCAGTAAGAGTCTGACACTCCCTCCCGCCCTGCCCTGGGCGGGAGAAGTCATTAGATGACTTTCCCTTCACAAAAAATCTATGGATAATATAAAGATGCATCTTTGCTTATGTGTTTAGGATATAAAAGAGATTAAAGTGTGAGAGAGCCAAGCTTCGGCACGATCACATAGATGGTTAGCAGTTAACACAACTGTGCGATTTAAGCGAAACTTTGGAACGATTTTCATATCCGGCGGCGATATTTCCGAACCAATACGACCTTCGAACCTTCAAGAAACGAGCGTACTTCTTCTTAAATGGCCGGCAACGCGGTTGTGACTCCTCTGGTACTGCAGGTGTCGATGGACGCCGCCGATGACTTACCATCAGGTGATCCGTAAGCTAGTTTGCCTTCTATTCCATAAGAAAAACTCCTCTGATATGTGCGTATCTTATTTTATAGGAGCTTATAGCGTATAGTTTCTTATCCCAATCTTCAACAACCAGCTTTATGTACTATGAAGAACCAAAAGGAAGGCTTAGCCTTTTTTTATCTGATAGAACGGCAAACGAGTGGAGCACAGAGGAATTACCTGATGATAAGCAATCGGACAACCCATGGACATCCCCAACAACGGAAGAGTTAAGGGTGCGTTGACGTTGTACGTCAAAATCCATTGCGTAGTTTTATAAATTTAAGTATACATAGGGATATATGGACAGAGAAAGCAACTTTGTTTTATCTATGTAGTGATAAATTATTATAAAAAGACAAATTTAAAAGCATCCATAACATCTGTTATCAATTCTACATACATACATAAATAAATAGAAATTTGATTCACGCTTGAACAAAGATGTTGTTTACAGGCACATTAAGTAAATAAATAAATAAATAAATAAATAAATAAATAAAGTATTTTTATTTTCTTTTTTTAATGTGTGTTGCTGCAATAGAAGTCTTTTAACTGTCCAAATTTAAACTACCTAGCTTGTCAATAGGGTATGCTTTAATTTAACAGGTGACTGAAAGTTTTTGATGAGTAACTCAACTAGATTCAGGCCATCTTTAGGGTTCATATTCCTGAGCTGCATTATGTGATACTGGACATGTTTGTGTCGGTTGCACATATAATTTAAATCTCGAAAACACAAAATGTTGCAACAAATTTTTACCTTTTCGCTACATAACTTATAAAGTAACACAAAAATATTGACAGTTACAAAGAAAAACTAATTAACATTAAATATAATAGCAATAACTTAAACATTTCCAGAATTTTGTTTTTCATTACTATGCATATAAAAATGTGGGTATCAACAATTTTTTTTTTATACAACCTGTTTCAAAATTGTCTGATACTAATTAATTGATCTGATGTAATAAAGCTTAAATAGAATTCAAAGACCTAATTGTCTCAGTATTTAATCCACTTTTAATTATTTCTTTTTGTATTAGAACCATGACATGTTTTCTTGGGATGAAATTTTAAGCACTATAAGAAAAGAGTCCTAATTGATTTGAGTGATTTACACAACCTTGTTGTATTTCATATGATTAGTAAGATTGATTAAAGTTGTATCCATAATTGAGAAATTTAATAAATCACAATACAATTAATAAGGCAGATAGACATAGCAAATGTCAAGGGTCACACACTTAGTGTTCTTCTATGGTGTCTCAAATTACCACAATTAAATGTTGACCATTAAATTAAAAAATTGAAGTAAATTATTTAAAAAAATAAGGTGGTTTGGCTATATGAAAGGAATGGGTGTCATAAAGAAAGCTTTAAAAGTTGCCAGCACCCTTTATATAAATACCAATCGAATACATTGTAGAAAAGGAGGTGGGATGTGTATTACCTCATTAGTTGGAAGTCCATTGCAAAACGAAACTTACCCTCTTAGAGGACATGTAGGTATTTGTACATTTCTAAACGAAACAGATATGTATTTAGGAATAGAGATTCTATGTGCAATATTAGGTGTTACCTGTAACTTCAACTACATAGTTCAAGAAAAATTGTATGACAAAACTCATTAGTAATATCAATGGGATGATAATCATTCCAAGGTCAAAAAGATACACCAACAAACAATCGCATTTGCAACATTTAAAAGCGTTATAAGCAATTCGCACAGGTATTGTGTTTGTAGCAAATCAAATATTAGATTTTTATGACTGTTTCCAATCAATATAAAGTATACTATGTAAAATTAGGAGGCATTCCAGTTTATGACTACCCACGTAGAACACATCTTAATGTCTGTGACTGGTGAATATTAGAAAAAGTATCTAATAGGTGTATTTATAAAGCACAAAATTTTGGGATATCTACTTCAGCCATTGTGAAGCCATGCTTTTACTAATTGAAATTCCTACTTTTTGATCATATGGTATTTCTAATTAGAATCTGCTTAGATTGATTTAAGTATATATATACTTATTTGATCTGAAAACTATATGTAGTTTAGTACGTAATGAAAGTGAGAACTCAGTCAGTGGGTTATCTTAGGGGCTCAATATTAAAAATACGGATATCTTACCCTCCAAACTGGATCGGCAGCTTTCGCGACATCAGCTAAGGTCGCATAGTTGATTCCCTTTAGCCTTTGTTCCTCTTTGAAATCATGCATGAAGAAATAGTAAGCATTCCTTGGCGGTTTTTTAGGCATGTTGTATGTTGTTTTTCACTTTTAGACAATTTAATTACAAATCGGTGTGAAATATCACATATACAATAGACAGGTGTGGTACGCAGGTGCAGAATCACTCGATCAATAATTTATTACTTTACTCCTTCACTCTTACTATATTTGCAGTCCATGCACTCGCAAGGCGCAACTCAAAATAACTCCATTTCAATTTCGCAAAACGTTTTTTTTCATAGCCGGCTCCTGTCTGCTCCTGTATGACATTAGTGACATTGACATTTATTTATGTTTATAATACAAAATCTATGGTTTATGTCCATGGACGGACATGATAAGAGTTTTATGAGTATTGAATTTAGTAGTTTCGGCAAATGTTATATAAAGATTGAATTTAATTTATTTGCATATTAAAGTAAAATCCATTATTTCATTGTAATTGAGGTCAATGGCCGCACAAGACCCCGTACCTCTACCCTTATACGATTTATCTATTTCATTAAATGTGTACCAGTTGACCACAGACGTATAAAGAAGTAGCATAATTTACTGAAAACACCAGTGTCACACTTCCAAAATTTTCTGTTCTGTGTTTCCAATAATTTGTTGGAATGCTGATGTCTTTTTGATCTCTTATAGTGTCCTTGTTTAATAAGTAACTCCTTTCTGTTACCAAAAACAATTCACTAAATGAAAGTTCTGAACTTTTTGATTTTGTTACAGCGTCACGCAATTTCCCAAATAAAACTATGATAATAAAAATTTCCTATTCTTGAAAGATTCCTAAAAAAGATAAGTTATTTCCCCAAAGGCTTTTGTTTATGATCGTTTCTTTAAACAAAATTATTCGTAACCTTTGAACCGTGAAAAATTATGATTAACCCAACAATCTTAGATGACAAAGTTATAAACTGATTTCAATCAGACCCATACTTCTTCAGTCCTAAAAACGTCCTTTATTGTACCACCGACTTGTTCTATAGTCTGGCCTTATTTAATCTCTTGACTACCTCTAGACAAATCAGAAATAACATTGTGTCTAATGTAGACCTACTTTCAAGCCTAGGAGTTAAGCATTTTTTCTGTCTGTGAATGACCCTTATAAACACAAAGTTGGTCTGCTGAAGGTCTGCTGCTATTTTATACGTCTGCCCAGTTTATCCACAACCCAAACATCCAGTGCTGTCTGAATGTTTATAAAGGTATATTATATTTTTATGTGATGATTCTAAATTCTAAGTGACTTCTGCTTTTCTTGGTTTTGAGAAAAGTCCATTTTCACTCAAAGCCGTATTTCAAATTGAACACATGCAAAAAATATGATTATGAGTCGCACAAACACGTTTTGTTCGCCCATTTGCATTCTTTGTATCATAGACAAGGGACTATTTGACGTCTCACTGACGGTTTCTCTCTTTTTTTTTCAGTCTGTGTCGTGTCATTGATGGTGCTTGGGTGTTACGGAAAGTGGTGTGAATTTAAAATTATTTTTTCGTAACAGATCAAATTATATATTTCTTACTAAAAGTTAATACATTTTAAAAGAATTATTGTGTGGATCTTATCGCTCGTTGATATAAAATCTTTCACTGCTTCTAAACAGGTATGTTTATAAATTCATAATTTGGAAATGGAAATGTTTCTTACGAATTCTTGTTTTAATCGGTTACAGACGTTCGCTGTGTTTTTAATATTTGTTTTGTATGGATATAACGGGAGATTTATTCTTGTATGTAAGTGCGATGGATAGATTTGATTTAAATCATCAATATCCGCCGCGCTGGGAAGTTGGTGCGCCGTCGAGTGTCACTTTATTTGATAGAGTAATAAATATTGAGTTGGCGTGTCGTTGACCAAAATCTTAGTGCTATATAAATATTGGGCATAAATGATCAAGTAAAAATGTGTTATTAGGACCTATACCGATATATTAACGTTATGAAGAGTAAGGTTTGTATCAGGTAATTGAAACAATTAAAGTGTGTTTTATTTGGACTGAAAAGAAATACTTTTACTTCGAAATAAATGCTTAATATTTTTCTCTTCATGTTTAGGCCCCATGTGTCTCATTCAAAATATGTAATTATCAAACTTAATTGATTAATTGATAGAAATAATCTTTTTAAACTAACTGAGTGGTAAATTAACTATGTCAAGATGATGATAGCTTATATTTGTAGTTGTATAATAATTTAAATGCTAATGCCAATACTTGCATGCCTATTAGGCAGGACATATTGACATACTTAAATATAATGACTGTAAAGACCTGTAACTTACAATTATATACTTTTACTTTGATCTTTAAGAAGAAATGGGTCTGGGTCAAATACAGGACACTTTCAAATTAATTTTAAGTCTAAGATGAGCCTTTCAAAACAAAGGGCCTATTATTTTGTAAAAAATAAATTTTCTCCTTTATTTTTAAAGTTTTAAAATAAATTTTTTCCTTTATTTTTAAGTCAGTGAAAAATTATTTAGTTCTGAATTACTGAGATATTCTAGTTTCAAAACTTCATAAACTCTAACTTTAACTAACAGAAATAGACATATTTCAAATGCTCATAACATAATCCATAATATTTAAAACTGTATTTTTATAAAGGTTAAAACTAGAACAAGGTAATGAAGACAGTTCTTCAATTCTGGGGTATTGTCTTTTAATTCAATAGTTGGCTTTATTTTAAATTATGAGTCAAATAAAATACACATCATGAATTCCCAAATTTGAAAAGGTACAGATGGCAAAGAAATGTCAATGTTTGTTTAAGTCTGGCCATCATTCCATTGTAAAAATGCCAAGATGTCAAACCTTTTTCCCTTTCTCATTCTTTAGTGTTTACTAACATGTACTTCCTCTTAATTTCTCAACACTTGAGTGTCTCTACAAATTTGATTTATCAGTGAAATAATGTATAGGTATATGAAATATAACTTTATTTCATTTTTACCTGTAAAATATTATTATTAATATTTTCAAAATTAACCCAGATTGGAAAATGAAATCACAATTATTAATTTACACAAAACCATATGGCAATAGAGACATAATATTATTGTGCCTGTATTGTGGGAAATGTAAACAATAAAACAAAGGTTCTCACACCACACATCTGTTTAATTCCGAATAAGCTCAAGATACTAATACTTAAGTAGTAACACTACAAATGTATTTAAGTATATTGAAAAGGATTGTGTTCAAAAGTTTTCATAGACTTAAGTCCCAAAATTTCAAAGCTATTTACTAATACCAAATAAAATAAAGAGAAAATATAAACAACAATATTTTCTCAACTCTTAGTAATTTTAAAACTAAATACTTATTTTCCTTTACCATGAAACAAGTTCTAAGTCTAAAAAAAAAAAAGTTTAGTATTAGGTATTTTTTCATTATATTGAATATTTCCTTATAGTAATTTCCTTATCAATTAACATTATTTTTAGTACATACATACATACATATCTTGGCTAAATAGTTTTTTTATTTCATGTTACTATTAATTAGATATGCTTATTAGTAATTTATAGTGATCATGAAAATATGTGTACGTACATAGTAAACCTATTTTATCATTCAAGGTTTATTGTCTCTATGGATGTGGATTTTCATATAGCGGCAATAACTATTATTAAGTACTTATCAGTACATGAATCAAACAATATAATGCTTTATGACAATGGCATTGGTTTATATGTATATAAAATTAATTATATTGTCAATTTGTTAATGGAACATGTATGCAAGTACATGTTCACTTGTATTAGATAGCTGTAAAATGTTTTATCATTTGTAATGAATGCAGGAATTTCAGTTTTATGACCTTATAGGTATATAGTGTAAAATTGTTGTAGTATGCTAATTTAGCCTACATTTGATGATGGTGATGCAATGATTACGTTTTTCGAATTTCAAAAACAGTTATGTTTCTTTAACCTTTTTGTATGTGATTAATTAATTGTGACATTGTAACTTTTTTGTGTCAAATACAATAGTAATTTCACTTAAATTAGAATGAAAAATAATATAACCAAGCTTAAAATTAATATGATCAATAAGAATATAATTTTTTTAGATACTGTTACTAAAAATAATTAAAATAGTTAAGTTAGAAAAAAATATTCATTTCTGAGTTACCATTCATATAAGAATTTTGTGGAGACTTATAATATGTTTTACGAATTTTCGGCACCTAATATATTTTATGGAGAACTTACAAGTCTTTTTCTTATAAAAACACTATAAATAAACCATTTGTAGGCTACTATTAGTTTACATACCTTGGTACAGTAAGCCTACGATATTTTAAAAAGTCTACTTTTTATTCAAATACTCTCCAAAGAAGGTTATAGCATAATATCGTTTTAAAATCATACATACAATTATCTTCTTATTGGCGTCGGCCCCGCAGTCTTCGTATTAGCAAAAACGGTGTGTTTGAATCTTGCGATACTTGAATTTCTGCTCACTGTAATGACACATAATTGCAATACAATCAGACAGTTCCACAGACTGTCTTATGATTATGGCCGCCGGACGCGATATTTACATTTTTCGTTGAGTTTTTATAAGGACCACTAATCAAATGGTGTACCTCTTTTATTGTTCTTTTTAATGGCTATTTAATGCTGAGCCCACACTATCGGCTAACGGCAGTACGCGAGATGTTTACTAAGACAATTTTAACGCTAGACTTGAAATGTTAATGTCCATCATTGGTGAGGAAAACGACATTAATATTATTTGAATTTAAGCAAGATGCATATTGCCACTGACAATGTGTGACCGCTGCATCTCATTAGTTATTGCATAAGTATTTTTGATGTACCGTGATGAACCGGCACGTGAGCTATCACCTAACTTCAAACGACAATGTTAATGGCGTTGTCAAATTATCGCGTAAAGGCGTGACAACACATTCGGTTAGCGTGGCCTGTTCACATGTAATTGTAGTAACTAGTTTGTAAAGAAAGTAGTTAACGAACCTTTTTGTGTTAGTTCAGAACGAGATTATCGATAGGTATTTATTTAATACTACATGAAATCCCAGGCAAACGCCGGCGTTCGCGCAGCTATTGGTCTTCTATTTTGTCTTGAATATAAAATTATATTTTTAAATGTAGAAAAATAGAATCTAGAGATTGCTTAGACAATATTAGTAAGTCTAGCTGTTCTAAAAACACACGCGCTTTGATGTGCTTTTTCCCATAAACACAAACTGAGACTCTAGCGCTGAGAATTTTCTGATTAAACTGGTCCAAATGATTAACGAGGGATCGCACACCGCATAGAACAGCGAGAGCGGTAAGTCCGTTATTGACTCCATATGACGCCTACCGCACAGCTCAATCTTTGTTTACTCATTATTGTAAGCGTCAAATCAGTTGACTGGCCTCGCCGCCACTACGATATGAGATTAAAGCGTAATTCATTTTCATAATGGAATAGAGAGTGCCTCTTGTGAAACATAGACATGGTAGGTATATCAATTGATATATCTACTTATACAGGCATTTTTTGTGTAGCTTTGCCTTCAGTAGGTACCATATACTTAGTATTTTACAAAAATTAGTAATTTGCTCTAGAACCTTTATCGATGTTCATCCTGTCCATTGGTAAATATTGTATGGAAATCCGTTCAGTAGTTTATGAGCTTATTGCCAATAGACAGATGCGTTGTTGTCCTTAGCATTTGAAATGTGTAGCTATCAGTTGATATTTCAATATCGCTACCACTCCGTTCGTCAGACAAAAATTACAGTTTTTTATATCACAGTTTTTTGTCTACTGTAATTACATATTCCTGCATAAAATATGTTTACTATAACACATTTTACAGTGTTTGAGCCTAACACGTAATCAGATTCTTTTAGACATAAATCAGTTAATAGTTCAATGCAAATTTACGCGTATTATCTATAAACCAACTCTTCGGCTTTATTATCATACATACGAGTGCATTTCTACATTAAATTTTATCATCAACATAAAACTTCAGTTCTCAGTACCTACTTATGTATTACCTGCAGTTCTTAGAATATAATGTTTATGTTATGTTTATATACCTACTTTTATTACTCAGTTTGGATCCTCGGAAAATTTTGTAAGCTTTTAATTTGCAAGCTTGTGTCATTCTATGCTTGATATATCTTTCAATTCTTGTAAAGTTATTTAAGTAATTATTAATGATCAAGTTACAAGCTCATTAATAAGATAACAATGCACTTTAGAATGTCCGCAAGAGAAGGGTCAGATCTAAAATAGGCTCAGATAATCCGGTGGACATTAATTAATCGAGTGGCAGCCGCAGCCACAGTATATTCGCGCGTCGGATCCAATCTGCACCTGCACGCTGACTAAACTACATGTAGTTTATGCCCTGCGTGATAATTAGGCCACGTTCCCATTCGCCTAGAACGGGCTGTTTAGGCGGGAAATAGCGCGCGTATATCATTATATAGCGGGTGTTTTACCGGAACGCTTAACGGCCGGAAGCTGCTTGCACGTTAATAAAATTTACTATTTACTTGCTTTGGACTCTTTGTGCTGTGGTCCATTCAAACTGAAAATAAGTACAAAATTTTCCATTACTTTGTTTATGTATG